GTTTTTCAACGGAGGTTTTCGCCGATTTGTTCACTTTTCGGAGGGGGCCTCCAGCCCTCATCAGCGGCTGGTTAGATTAGACGAAGTAGACTAATGCACCTGCGCTGATATTGAGCCTGCTATAAGCGCCGCAAGAAAAGAATCTTTAGATGGAGAACTTTCCTCTCCAAAGTTTTTCCAGGTAGGGCGATTTGCTTATTCTTCCAAGTCTCGGGAAATTTACAAAGAAGCATACAAATGTTGCGGATGCAGAAGTCCAAGACAGGAAACTTATTATTAAAATTAGCGGCAATATGGAATATTAAGTGGATGATTCCGGGATAATTTTTCATCCAACACGTCCTCGCAGCTCAGCATCCAACAGAAAAAGGAAGTTATGAACTTAGATGCAAGACGGCTTAAGCTACCCGCCGACGTTTTTGACAATAGTTTTCAAAAGTTGGTGAAGCTATTTGCTGAGAGCGGAGTAATCAAAGTTGCATGCTGATGGGAGTATCGCATGCGAGAAAATTTGCTTGCTTTGCTGCTTGTGCAAACCTAGACGTGTCGGTTGGAAAAGGTTTGATAGGATTAAAAAGCAATACTAAGGTATTTTTGGTGATCGTTACAAAACCGGATAAGCTACCATCGTTGAGTCAGTAGGTTAGACGGAGTTTTGGCCCTGTTATTGTCTAATATCTTTGGCGTGAAAGGAGCCAATTGCTCGTCCTTGTAGATCTTCAAGTACGTAATAATGATTTCCTTATTTTTCTTTTTCACTTTGAACAAGGTCCTCCTAAATACTTCTTGACCTGGATGGAAAGAAACGGGTTTCGTACGTAAATTGTATTGCTTGGCGTTTCTCTCATAAGCTTTTTTCATGCTTGTTTGTATATCATTCCTCAAAAGTGCAGTCTTGTCGGTTTGTTTGATTGAAAAGTTCGATTCCTCCAGCATACCTAAGTCTCTTAACAGGCGATACTGCGATGAGTGTGTGATCATATTAAATCCAAATAAAACTTCATATGGTGTACGGTTAGTTCTTTGATGAATGGAGGTCCTAAGAGCACAAGAAATGCTGCTTAGGTTTTCGTCCCATTGCTTATGATCATTTTTAATGTATGCACGTATTCCCGCAATCAACGAACGATTGACGCGTTCGGATGCATTACTTTGTGTAGAATACAATGCGGTATAGACATGATTTATTCCATACTCCGTTAAAAATGCATTAAAATCGTTAGATTTAAATTGTACGCCGTTATCGCTTATTAAGGTCTCAGGTACACCGAAGCAATGGAATATGTCTCTTAA